GACTCAACGGAAAAAATTTTCGCCCAAAGGGCTCAACTTTCACGAGTTACCCTTTAGAAGACAATAAAAAAAATATTTGTCTCCAACTTTCTAGACCAACCCCTATTTCTTTGTTGACCCCTTTCACCCCCTTAGGGGTGGTTGCCAGGATTTGCACCAGGCCTCTCGTTGTCCAGGAGTGACCCCTAACAAGGTAAGGTTTTTAGGTGGTACACACCAATTTCGCTGGGCGCAAGGGATCAGTGAAATTGCAAAGCTGCGAAACGGTTAAAATGGTATACAAAAAATATGGGCTGGAACTAAGTAGCGGGAGCTAGCTGGGAGGATGAACCAACATTGAATTCGAGTATTAAATCATACACCACACAAAATTGAGAACTATTTATTAGGATGAGGGACTATACACATATTTGTCCAGAAGAACAATTTTAAACTATCTATTCTAAAAGTCTCACTTAAGCACGATATTTAGATTAAAAGAAGTCACAAAACTAATGTCAAGATAAACAAGTAAATAACGTATCTTTATATAGGTAAGTGTAAAAAGAGCGAAAATATAACTTAAATCGCACATCATTTTAAAACCTCAAAAAACAATAAAATTAATGAAGTTGTGCTTCCATTTAATTAAAAGTTCTTTGCTAGACGAAGTTTCCCCTTGTTGCTGCGATGCTGTCTGAAAACACAAACAAAACTATGTAGGGACACAAAAAGTCACTGTTCCCACCCGGAGCAACAGTAGCGACGTAACACTGCAAACTCCATAAGGGCGATTGTCTCACTCACTGTTTACACATTGAGTCCCCCAAGACCACTCGTCCCAGTGAGAAATGAGTGATCGAACCGACGTCAAATCGATGTCGAAGTGCTCGAAACGTTATTGACGGTGGAAATGTTAAGTCATCGACATAGTTTCGATGTAAATTGTAGAACACCTAGCTACTGTTCTAAAGCATACATAGTGAATTTAGTGGCTGAAGAGGGTACAGCCCAGTTCTAATGAGTAAATTTCGAAAATTTTATTTTCGATATCGATTCGACGTTGATTCGAGGTAGGCCTTCCCTTGGCGATTCTGTTAGCTCTCGCGAACGAATTGTCACGCACGGACAACTATATCCTTGAGGCTTTTCCAGACGGGCGCGGGAGTCACGAGCCACAGGCATGAACTCCTACCAAGATTTTTGCCAGTGTTATCCATTTGGGTAACTGAGAACTCCACCAGGATATCAGTATCATTGAAATTTTAGCAATTGACTGTGATCGAAATAACATCGATGTTCGATGTCCCAACATTTCGACATTTGATATCGATAACATTTTGAATTCGATCAACATAATCATATCATCATAATGTCGATTCGACTACGTTTCGGTAATTCATTTCTCACTGGGCGTAGGCACAATAAGCCGTGATTGATACTCCCCTTGGGACTCAACGTGTCCAACATACATTGCGTCATTTCACGATAATCTTAAGAAAGGGCCGCTAGGAAACGAAGTAACGGGCCGAGTGAGCACTCTGAGACCCTCCCTGGACCCCCCTGAGAGCAGAGGTTCACCTCTTACTTGGTCATCAAACTACATGAAATTGAAGATAAAAGAACTTAAAATACCGAGTCCCTTTGAGATCGAGGCATGCGCGCGAGTTATAGGGTGGTCCCGAAAAACGAGTTATGTTGATTTCTTTTGAGCCTCACTCGGATCAAGGTACTTCTTGAAAACACAAGTCATATGCCGCAAACCCGAACCCGATCGGAACAAGGGAACTACAAGGAAAAAAAGAAGAAACAAAATAAGCTAATGCATTCGCTACTATGGCCTTAGATTAAAATATTAGCTCTCATAGCTAGTTCTTAGCTAAGAGAGCGAACATATTAGCTTTTACAGCTAGTTGCTTTATTTGGTAAACAACTGTCATGGCTAATTGTTTAGCTCTCTTAGGTAATAATTAGCTGGGAGAGCTAATATTCTAATCCAAGGCCATAGTATCAAATGCTTTAGCTAATTTAGCGAATCCTTTTTTTTTTCGTGTAGTGCCTCACGGGGCGTTTAAGTCGAAAGGTCAACTTTTATAATCGACTCAAACGACATCGTTTGCAGACTCAAAATAGGCGATTTTGGAGGGGTAGTTCCTCCTGCGATTTTCGATTTGAAGCCTCCTTCTCTGACTTTTCGAGGGTTTTAAAATATATTTCCTCAATTTTGGCTAAACGACCAAATTTCACTCGGAAGGCCCTTGAGCGTCGTCCTTTCATCGCAAAAATTTCCTAATTCGCCGTACGGTACGGTACGTAAAAACGTCCGCTGAATCCGAATCCATCGTCAGATTTTGCCGATTATGTCATCTTATGGCCCAAAAAGCCTCCCAATGAACCTAAAGTAGTGCAATCACGACGGAAATGACCCTAACTTAGCCCACAACTCTTACTGTACTTCCGGGAAGTGCGAACTGCGAAAGTGACTTCACACTACTTTACAGTTTACGGCCAGACCGGCGCGCATGTCTCGGTCTCAAAGGGACACGGCATTTAAAGTTTTCTCACATCTCAAGTACTTAGATGACCGAGAGAAAAGTAAACCTCTGCTCTCTGAAGTTCAAGGAGCACAACGAGTGGCCCACCATCCCCGTCGAAACACAAACCGCGCACTGGAGACCGTAAGGGGTCAGAGAGGGGGAGGGGGGGGGGACCTCATAGGGCCCACCCGGCCCCTTGCTTCGTTTTGCCTTTTCTCAAGAGATGATAATGTCCCAAATAATTCTTCCTTTAAAATAACTAGTATTGTTCGCCAATTTTGGGCACGCGACATTAAAATTAACTTTCGTTGTTACGAATTTATCGACCTTTCCTGCGCAGACTTTAGGGACTTTATAGTAGTCACTGGAAAGTCGCATTTGTGTGCACATCTTAACAAGATACAAAATTGATCGGTACAAACGACAAATTTGCACATCGATCATAAACAAAAAGGAAAATTTGCCTATTGCGAGGATGTTAACTTATCACTGGCAAAGGTTTAGAGCGGCATCTCGTAAAGATTTACATCAAACTACGACTTTCTAGGGACAAAAAAGTACTTTCAGATGTAGTGTGTATAGAAAGCCTCGCATTTTAAACTGCCAGACTAAACGGTCTCGCACACTGCAAACATTATGAGAGGATCGACAATTATTTTTCAGCAAATCGCGTATTGAAATGTGTCGATGCATACAATCAGGGCACCAAATCTTGTACAGGGCGTAAAAGTAACGACTATTATTGTCCAAAGAAAAACGCGCTTTTGTGCACATCTCAACCGGATGCAGACTTAAATCCAGCAAGTGAAGAACTAGCATCCCTTTTGTGAAAATTTTTTTTTTTTTGTCCTTCATAAGATGCTAATTTGTCACTTGCTGGAATCAAATCTGCATCCGGTTGGGATGTGTACAAAAACGCGTCTTTCCATGGACAATAAAAGTCCTCTCAGATTTAGTGTGAAAAGAACAAGGCATCGCAACGAATCATTGTGTTTTCACATTTTTGGCATTATCTCTGGAACCGCGCAGAAAATAACATCTCACAGGGGTTCATTCAGAAGCTCAAATTATGCAGTTCTTGAATTTTGTTACTCAACGACCCGTGGTCAAATCGCTCCTCGAAGCCAAAACTGAATTTCGTTCCAAAAAACAGTAACATTACTTGATTTTTGGAACGAAATTCGGTTTAGGCCTAAGGAAGCGATTTGACCACGTTGGGTCCTTTTATACTCTTCGACCTGTACTGATTTTTTTGTCAGTTGAAACGTAGATTTCTCTACAGCAGGAATTACTGATCAATCTGTCAATTATTCCGTAGAGTTTCCTTTAATACGTACGAATAAAAATCAAACTGTCAGTTGTGTAAAAGGAATTGATGCGTATTACTGACAGAAAACTATAGTCAGTATTCCTGCTGCATAAAAACTTAAGTTGACAAGGGGCGGCAAAAAAATCAAAAAAATCAGTAACGAGATGAGAGTGTTGGTAAAGAAATTCAAGCACCATCTGGACTTCTGAATAGACCCCGTTAATTCTAAATTTCCGCGCGGTTTCAGAGATATTGCCAAAAATGTGAAAGAACGATAAGATTCGTTACGATGCCCTGCAAAAGACCACGTCAGAGTGAAGCCGTGCTTTAAAACCGTACGGGCACTTTGGATCGCTTTTGATGCTACAATGGTACCGTAGTGGAGGTGAACAGAATAAGCGTGAACGGCATGTGCGGCCGTGCTGTCTATACACGCTACTGACTGCACACTAACTGGAAAAGTACTTTTTTGTAAATTTCATATGTTGTGATTTGTGCGTACAGAATTATGCACGAAATCAGACATAAATGTGTATAATTTTATGCATAAATAAACACAAAAATAGACAGTTTTATTTGATGCACAAAATTTAACCTATTTCTGTATGAATAAGTGCATAACTAAGCACGTTTTCGTACATAAATCCGTACGCACGAATCACTCCATACGACATGTACAAAAAAAAAGCACATTCCCGTTAGTGTGTGAAGCGTAGCTTAAACTCGCAGACCCAAGTCTTGCAGTTGAAACTGACATCAGTTCACAATAGTAATAGTGTGCATATATACACACTCCCTTACCTACGGATGTCCTATCCGTATGTTGCGAAGAATTTGGCGCAAACGCAATACAGACCACAAATCATCGATAAGACGAACTAAATCGTCGAATTTGATCTGTATTACAAACATGCCTTCCTCCGTAAGGTACAGACGAAAAGTCTTTACTTACGTTTGCACGAAATTCACCGTAAGCATGTGTGAGGAAATGAGAGTGTATACATACATACGCAAGAAGGATTTTGAGAAATTTTACATATTATTACTGGAGCTGAAATTAGAGAGCTCTCTAAGAAAATACTTCATAAAAACGTGAAGTGCCACAGAGATGCACAAAATGCATCAATTGGTATGACTCGAAGGGAGCTAAAATTTCTAAGCAATTCGATCAATGATTTAGCAGTTTGACCATTAATGAAAGTAAAATGTTAAGGTAAAGGTTCCGACCTTATTCGCTACGCCGGGGGGTAATCTCTTCGCTCCCTGTGGGTTTCAACCCTCTGGGAAAATCGTACGTTGTTCACGGCTCCACCGACGCACACATGGCTATTCAGTTGACCCCTTGATATAGCACGATGGCCACAGCGACTGCAGTTGACATAGTTGCGATTACATGAAGCCTCGTGTATGTGTTTGAGATATGGGGTTCTGAAGAATCTGGAGCAGCGACTGCAAACGTACCTGCAGAGTTAAAACAAAATATTAGAGACAATTATGTTTTCCAATTCTCATTCTGAAAGCCACACACTAAATCCTCAAAAAACTTATTTTTGTCCTTATAGAAAGTTGCATTTTTGTGCACACGTTTACCAGACACAATATTGTATGATAAATATGACGACGTTGCATCTCTATCGTGAACAAAACAAACATTTGTCCATTGCGACTTAAGATCTATGGTGACCGATTTTGGTTTTTGCCTCAAAAATAAAGGGTATTAATGAAGTATGGATCCACTCCAAATTTGAGCACTGGGGCTGAAACGGTTCAACATTTGTAAATCCCTAAACTTTTGAAGAGCGCACGGGTAAAACTCTAAATCTTTGCAGTGAGGTCATAAGTGACCACACTATTGGAAAGAGGATTGAAAACTAGTCGAAAACAAACCACGGAAAGAAGTTGGATTTTGTGTCCAACCCTTTCAAAAATGTTTTTTCAAAAACGTTAACAATTCTTGTTAACTGTGAAACGAACCCATGGTTGGGGAAATTTAGTCGCTTTAGGTGTTTTAGGAACGTTAATGGCACGCAAAGCATTCTTTAAATTGTTAACGTGTCTTTTTGCATGGTGTCTTTTGGCATAAAGGACTTATTTTATAACTGCACACAATTTTTCGCGTGGGCGGCGCGTAATCTAAAGACACCTAGTTTTCCGCGTGATTCTCACACCACGCCTGATTTTCACTCCCTGCGTGATGAAATTCGATTCCTGATTGGCTGCGTGAAGCTTACGAAGCGTGAAAATCACGCCATAATTTTACACTATTTTCCACGAGGGCGGCACGCGCGCGTGGAGCGGACTACCGAGAGCAAGGTGTTCATTGTTCGGCTGTTACCCAGACGCGGCTCAAAATGCAACAGGTGGTGTTAAACGATCTCCCGCCTCCCCCCCTGCGCCGCAGTGTCTGGTAGAAACGGGTTCGTTTAAAAAAGGATATCGTAACTCCCATAATAGGGCATCCCTCTAGAGCGCGGAGCGGAACTAAGAAGAACAAAAGCGGATACAGAGAGCGGTGGTGGAGGCGGGCGCGCGGAGGAGCGGCGGGCGGGCGAGGATGCTCCCCTACCACCCGCCGCTCCTCCGCGCGCCCGCCTCCACTACCGCTCTCTGTATCCGCTTTTGTTCTTCTTAGTTCCGCTCCGCGCTCTAGAGGGATACCCTATTAAAATCGATAGTCTTCAGTTGTCACCACACTTGGTTTGCAACTCCCTCTATGGTCCCTTTACATTCCCTAATTTTTAAAGAAAGGTAATATTTAAGTGTATACTGTAAGAAAAAACAGTACGAAATTCACTAAGTATGTTACGGAGTAATTTGCATATTACATGCGAGGGGGACATAACTTAGGTTCGTAGGTTAACGGGCTATATATTTCGTGGCAGTTCTCCTGCCATTTCTTGCCTATTTCAAATTATTTCGGGGTATTTCGCAGTATTTCGGTGGGATTTCGCGACGATTTCATGGACTATTTTGCGTCTATTCCACCTTTATCTCGGACTATGTCGGGGGAAGGGTGTATACGAACTATTTCGCAAGTGATTCCACCCTCCTCGATTACATGTTACAGAAATTTGTACCATGCGCGTCACCGATTTTATTCAATAATATGGATAAGAAAATCTGTATCACGTGATACAGGGCCTGCTTACCGTTTAAAAAGAGAACAAATTCTTTTCCCCTAACTCCTCTCTCATTACTTTCACTTCCCTACCAGCAAAAAACTGTCGCACAAAGTGTAATTATTTTTAAGCGGCCAATTGTTATGACGATAACGAAAATCTAGTAGTAATGGCTTTTTGACAGTCAGACGATTGTGGCTGGTCTATCAAATTTAAACTATCACCATATTTCCTTATATTTTTATCGATTTCTGTTCAAGTCCGCAACAATGGTTTTTCGCTTTTATTACAAAAGCTATAGCCGATAAAGATTTTCGTCAGAAGAAGAAAAGATAGTATAACGATAGAATGATTGTTTTTCATGTCATATATCGCTCCGATAGTCCGCACCTTTTTACACTGTCCGACAGTCGCAAGATAGTTCTGTGCTACTAGGGTTGAGAACATACTAAGTTGGTTTTGTAAGCGAGTAACCCTACCGCACGGGGGGGTTGAACCACAGACCTCTGAGCTACGATGTCGTGCCTCCGAGCCATGCCCCTCCCCGACCGAGTTCCATAATATTCTAAACATTTATACATAAAATTGAATTCGATGTCACAATTCTTTGTATCTGTTACAAAACCTTTTAACGGACACGGGTTTTCTGTAACATTTTGATCAGATTACAGAGATATGCACCGACAATACACATTTCCGTATCACAATGGTCTGATAAACACGGCAAAAACGTCAGCTTAGTTTTCAAGCTGAGAATACCAGTTCTCAAGCAGGGGCGCTGACGGGTAAAATCAAGCAACGCTATTTGGCGGCTTGAAACCCAGTACGGCAGCTCTGCCTGAAATCTTCCAATGCGCCTTGTAATTCAAGACGGTCGGTTCGCCTGCTTGGATTTCGGGACGGCAGCTTGAAAAACTAGCCGAGCTGCTTGATCTGGTTCCCCCTACTTGGAATTCAAGCTGCGTCGCGAACCCGCGATGATTTGAACCGACGCAGTTTCGCACTCGTGTATGTAGCCTACGCTGAGTAGTGGAACAGTGGCGCGCTCTGTGTTCTACGCCAAAATACACATTACTATAAAAAGCAGGGAGAGGGGGGGGGGGAGCGCAACAGCAGGGCAAAGATGGGGTTAAAACTCCATGGTTGGGATATACTCTTCGCTCAATCAACAAGTTCCAAGCTTACTGTCGTGGCATTACGATGTCAGCTAGAAAATGGCATTTTGCTTCTGAAATACGATGCTGAATTACAGACACTGGTGTATTCAAACACATTGCACCAAAGTACTCCTGCTTGAATCGGCTACAACAATGAAAACAAATAGCGAAAGTAATGACACGTTATTTGCAGTCATTCACACCGCCATGTTTCAAAGCTAATCTCGACACGTGAAATCTACAGAGTATTTTGGGAAACCCCAAAGGACTTTGGCAATACTTTTTACGAGTGTTCCTCCGTAAAATACCTGGATTTTTTTTTCTAACAGTGTCTAAAGATGGATTCAGAGTTCACAAGATTCAAGCGTGATTTTCACGCCGCTAGCGTGAAAAGAGTTGTTTTGGTTAGCAATTAACTTTATGCAACAGCCAATAACAGGCCACCGTGGGGCTATGCCATCATTTTCAGCTGAATCAGCTTTGGAGCTAGCGTGATTTTTCACGCTTCCGGCGTGATTTTCACGCAAGCTTCTGCTAGCAGCGTGATTTTCACGCAGGCGTCTGCTAGCAGCGTGATTTTCACGCAAGTTCGAAAGTGCGTGAAAATCACGCTAGCTCCAAAGCTGATTCAGCTGAAAATAATGGCATAGCCCCACGTCGGCCTGTTATTGGCTGTTGCATAAAGTCAACTGCTAACCAAAACAACTCTTTTCACGCTAGCGGCGTGAAAATCACGCTTGCATCTTGTGAACTCTGAACCCACCTTAACGTGTCATTCACTTTCGCTGTTTGTTTTCGTTGTAGTAGCCGATTAAAGCCGCAGTGCTTTCGTGCAAATGTGTTTGAATGCACCAGAGCATCGTATTTCATAAGCAAAATGCCATTTGCTAGCTGACATCGTAATGCCGCGACAGTAAGTTTGGAACTTGTTGATTGAGCGAAGAGTATATCCCAACCATGGAGTTTTAACCCCATCTTTGCCCTGCTGTTGCGCTCCCCCTCTCCCTGCTTTTTATAGTAATGTGTATTTTGGCGTAGAACACAGAGCGCGCCACTGTTCCACTACTCAGCGTACACGAGTGCGAAACTGCGTCGATTCAAATCATCGCGGGTTCGCGACGCAGCTTGAATTCTACGCAGGGGGAATCCGATCCAAGCAGCTCGGCTTGTTTTTCACTCCGCCGTCCCGAAATCCAAGCAGGCAGACCGACCGTCTTGAATTACAAGCCGCATTGGAAGATTTCAAGTGGAGCTGCTTGAAAACCGTACTGGTTTTCAAGCCGTCAAATGAGCGTTGCTTGTTTTTACCCGATCGTATTCTCAGCTTGAAAAACAAGCTGTCGTTCTTGCCATGAAGAAAACTGTATCACATTTGATACAAAACTCATTATTATTATTTTTAAATTTGAGGGCTATTACGTACAACCCAAGAATCGAAAAGAGGGCGATATACGAATTAGCCTAATGCAGGGGTCTCAGACTGTGACGTCACGCGGGCCGCACGAGTCGGACCTCTCACTCGCACTCACTGCGATCACATAGCTCCATCTCTCTCCAGTGCGGCCCTTGCGGCCCGCGGGCCGCGTGTCTGAGACCCCTGCCCTAATGGCAAAGCAGGCCCAGCCGGCCTCTCTCGACCGGATTGGCTAGCAAAGGGTAGCTGGCACCCCTGTTTGGTGGAAGTGCTGGCATGCTCTTTGTAGAAGAACTTACTCAGGATGCAGGTAGGCAGAGTGTTTCCGAAGCTGCTCCAGGCTTGTGAACGCCATGGCGCACACTTTGCAATACCACTTCCTGGATATGGTGTTCCCTGCGGACGTGCCGACGGGCTGCAGGCGATATAGCTTGGGCCCCATCGAGATGGGGTTCATGTCAAGAGGACGTCCTGGAGGAACACTGCATCTTAAAGAGGGCACAACGGGCCCTCGAGTGCATGCAGGTTCTGCAGTTATGGGTGGGGGCTGCAACGGGGGAGAGTGCTCTGCCCCATCCCCGGACTTCTCCACTTCAACACTTTTGGCAGATGGTTGGCCCTAATAACATAAAAAGCGTACTGTCTAAATGCAAAGGAGCTTTTTATTGTTCCTTAATCTGGCCACCAAATTTTTGTCCACAGTCGCAGACAAGAAAATCTATGGACAAAAAACGTGTCATTTTATAAACAAGTTGTGACATTAGAAGGGACAAAACGTTCCTTCGAGCGTTCCTTACAAAAGTTGTCCCTTCCTTGGAAACAAATTTGTTGCTAACAAGCACACTAATTTGCAAACTTAAACGTCCACTCGCTGGGACAAAATGTCTTGCCTACGCAAAACAGGAAACAAATTTGTCCATGATGAGAAAACAAAATTGAAAATTGTGCTCTCTAACAAAACCATTTCCGATGTCGTTGGATGCGTGAAAATCCATGTCTCGTTATGGACAAAACTGTTCTTTTACATTTAATGTGTATGGATGCCTTCTTAAACGCATCTCAAATAGATACAAATTCGTCTCTAAAGTAGGAACCAAAAAAAAAGGTATTTGTACTTAGGCTATGTACACATTGTAACTTTTTAGATACAAATTTGCAATGCTTCCACGCTGAAAACAGCGACCTGCAAAACAAAATTGCCCTTTCCCATTTAGACTGCTAAGTCACAAAAAACGGGTGCATTATGAATGCTGACTTTTTCAGATTTTAGGGCAAGTAAATTTACGAATATGTTCTCGAGTTGACGTGCAGCTAGAGACAAACCACGATGTAGTTAATACGGTGTAGGCTCTCCGGCCGGTAGCGGGCTAAAAGACGGCCGCGGAAAGACGGCACATTCGTAGTTCCAGAAGAGCC